AAAAGCGTGTAACACGCTCTTGAAAACAAAATTGTAATTCATAATTTTATTAGCTACTATCTGAAAGGTTCACATTTATATTTGCTGTGTTAAGCATATTATAGAAGGGTTCAGTATGTTCTAATTGTTAAGTTTAGGTAAATTATTGGATATTAAAGGGTATTTATTGCATAAATATTATGTGGATGTTCAGATTATTCATATTATGTATGTATTAGAGCGTATTCGTATGTAGTTTTAAATATTGTTGATGTAATAGGGAACTTTACTCCTAACTCGGCGCAGATGGCGCCACTATGAAACTGTCACGTGACCTTGTTGACGTTGTCACGCCATCTGTTGAGAAATCTTAGCATTTCCCTATACATATTTGTGTGCATTTTCTACACATAGTATGTTTTTACTTGATGTGTTTAGTTTAATAATGTGACAAAGGATAAACATATCTTATAATGGAAGTACATTTGACTGGTTACATTTAAAATTGCCAATACTTGCTCCAAATCTTAGCTTTCCGCTATTAAGTTGTTTTTATTTAATAGTGCCAACTGACAAATCATTTATGTCATTTCTATTAGCTCAAAATAGGTATGTAGAGTCCATTCTTCATAGAATACTAATTTTTATACATAAAGCACTTTCAATAAAAAGAACTGCCAATGATTTTCATTTTGCCAATGTCAACTATAAAGGTGAGCATAGATTAGAGCATTTACTTGTAACAGAACAACGAGCCGCTCTATTAATTTTGTGGTGTCACTTGAAAGTGCACACCATTTTACGAACCATTCGTACATTTTACCTGAATGAGGGTTTTCGCGATTGGAAAATCCGCCAGATGGCAATACGTAGACGGGAGGTCCAAATGCTGCATAATTGGTGGATTTTGACATATCTGTCAATGTCATGTCAAAAATAACCAATCATGCCGCATTTGGACCTCGCGTCTACGTATTGCCATCTGGCGGATTTTTTAATCGCGAAAACCCTCATTGACAAGAACGTTAGTTACACTACATGGAAATTCTCTAGTCTCTACTCGCCTTTAGATATTGGTCGGTGACTAAAAATTTATGCTGCTAAGTTAATTGTCATTATTTTACTTCAATCATTTATTTTCTACTGCCGCACAACATGTAGCTCACACAAAAGTATCCATTGCACACAAATATGTCTAAACAATTATTTTATTCGTGGACTGTTTTATGGTAGTCGTAGAATACAACCACAACTGCCGTCAGAACTAAAAACTATGTATTTACTATAGTAAATTAATTTGCTTGTATTTATTATTGTTGTTTTAAAAACTCAATGGTTTTTATGATGTCTAAAGCTAGTCTCTTTACCTACATAAAGTAGGTATGAAACTGATTTTACAATCTCTAATACTATCGCTGTAATGTCTTTTTCAACAATACGTATCTACGGTAATGGATGGAAATCTATTTAAAATTGGCCATGTATCTTTTACAGATATATTTAATAATGTATCGCAACTGAAATGTTCAAAAGTGTACCTACTGTATTTGAACTCAGAACCAGTTGGCGCCTGTCACTTGACAGTGACAGAGCTTCCTTACTAGTGGCGCCAACTGGTGAACAATTACGATAAACCTATTTGTAAGTATTCCAACTACAGATAAAATGTAATCATTGTAGTAACTCAAAGGCGTTTGCTTGTGATCCAAATTTTAGTTTTAGAGATTGTAATTGTACTTAGATCCTACTTTGCAGCTTTATAATTTTATTATAATGTTAATCATTATCATTAACTGATGTCAGAACAATTTTTGCGCTCCTAGCGTATTGTATTTTATATTAATCTATTTATATTTACCATTTATACATGTTAAGTATATTATTGTTTAAAATTGCATGCAACCAGTAGTATTTTTGCCCAACTAGTTCAGTAATGCGATTTTCATACATAAATGTGAGACAATAAAGTCTTTATAGACATAATTTTGGGCAGAATTACAGTGGATGTGTGCAATGACTGTTTATTATATTCTATACATGTTTTATGACGATAGCGATAAAAGTCCGTTTATTTATAAATAATAAAACTGACTTATAACTCAGTTTTAACTAAACGCGTTTGCGTTTTTTTATCTTAGTGAAATCAATACATACTTGCCAAAAAGCGACGAAGCATTTATGAGATAAAACGATGTTATATTATGTTTAAAAGTTCATGGTCTTAAAAAACGCTAATCTGCAGGAACCTTCAAATTTATGTCGTCATAAAACTGAAGTATAGAGCCCTTGCCCCATAACAATACGAAGGAAAACAGTTGGCGTAGTCAACTCATACCTAATCTTGCTAAAGTTAATTCAGATTTAATTAACCTATCGATCGAAATGATCGTATTGTAATGTTCTGAATCGCTTGCATCAACACAAAATATCCATGTTTTTTTTCGCAAAAGCTAATTCTTTTTTCTTACTAACCTTCGGTCATTGGCACGACGGCAAATCCTACTCCACCACTTACGGGACTTATACCACCAACTTTTCCACCACTGTAACCCTGTATAGCCAGGATCTACAGCTTGGTCTTAATTGAAATCCAACCAGTGAAGGTTATAAGCTGTGACCAGTGAGGGTTGGATGAACACCACTTGAACTTGGCAGGGCAGATATGTACCATCCTAGCCTGCATCCCACTTAACATCAGGTGCGATCGTGCCTTTTTAATAAAAAAAAAACCTGTCGATTTTCCCCAATATATCCGACTTTATAACTTTAGTTTAAGGTTCAAAGTTAATTGAGTTTGCCGAGTGCCAACTGCCTTCGTTCGTGTTGTAAGTTTGTATGTATTATTGTACGTGGTTTATGTGTTATGGACATCGGAACTGATATGGGTATCTATTGTTGTGATATTTGTACACCTATACCGGCTCTAGCTGCGGGTGGAGATTTCACTAGACGTGGATTAAATAGTTTGTCATATTTTAATGTACTACTTTGTTTTATTTACAAAACCTTGTTCAGATTATATTCATTCTAAAATAAACGCTTATTGTGTCTTTGCAACTTGAAATATTGGCCTAAAATGTAAAGAACAACAACACTTTTTCGCTCTATAAAACTTTTTTAACCATAAACTTATAATTCCTACTTATGACAATTAAAAACTAAAGTCAAAAGACAATTTCTCAGTTCAAAGTTGTCATGGCCTGTCAGAATTGCACTGAAATATTTTTAAATACGTAAAGTACGCGTTTCGGTGGTTACACTGCGGTTCATGTTGTAATTTGTATTATTTTTTGTTCTAAATTGTCTTGCAATGGTAAGTACCTTCATTTCTTTGTATGATTTCTATAGATCTATGTTCAGTCGACTGAACTTGTATTTGGGTGAGAAGTGTGANTTTTACACTATGCGGAAATTAGCCGAGTCAAGTCAAAAAAACAGAGGAGTGGGGATGAAAAATGAATAAATATCATCCCCACTCCTCTGTTTTTTTTACTTGACTTGGCTAATTTCCGCGCAGTATGAACATATGAAGTTAAACCAAGTATGTGTGACGTCATCGGGTACGGTCGCATCCCAATCTATTTTTAAGAAAACACAGCTTTTGAATTAATATTTTGGCATTGATAATAGCTGGAGCTAATAAACCTAGCGGGTCATAAATTTGAGCTATAATGGCTAACATACGACTTTTAGTAAGTACTGTATTTTCTTTCATGTCGATTTTAGACGCAAAATATAATTCATCAGCCCAATCCTAACAAAGCTAAGCAAGTAATATTCGCATTATAATCACTCAACTTGAACGTATTTATGAATATTACACGATTTATTAGAGTGTGAGACCGATTGTCCTACTCCTGAAATACGTATAGTGGACTGTAATAAAGATGCGTTTAAACGTTTAACATAAGTTTTCTGTAATAATGCATTCCGTTGTCAAGAAGAGCTCGGACGGTATGAAATTCGTTTTTATCGTCCGCAACTTCTATCAATACAGTGGAAAGAAACACAATTTGTGTACCGCGCAGTATCTTGGGCGTACTCGAGTTAACGGTTGAGGAATGCAAGGCGGTCGATGTGCTACTACCGTTCAAATTTTTAATTATTATTTTCGATTGACCGTCAAGTTTATTTATATCTGAATGTAATAAACTGTGGTGTTTCGACTGACACTGTTTACAGGGACCGAATAAGCAGTCAGTAATTGAATGACCGGCACGCAAACAGTTACGGCAAAGTTTATGTTTATCTACGAATGTTAATCTACTTTCTATGGGTAAATTTAAGAAAACTGTGCAAGCATAAAGTGCGTGATGATCTTTACACATTAAACAGTGACGTATGCGTTTTTCTTTAGGTTTATTCGTAGTGACATAACTATGAGTGGTTTGTGATTGTTGCCGTTTTGAGTCATAAGTGTTTCGAACGGAAGTAACAGTGCCTTTAGGACGATTTAAATGAATATTATTTCTAACGTATTACGTACGCTCGGTTACGTAAAAATTGCAATAAAATTCGTCTAAGGTTATTTTTGTGTGCGTGTTAGATCCAATAATTGAACCTTTGTGATTTTCCCATTCCCGTTCAGTTGATACGTCTAGCTTTGAAATAATTAAGTAAATTATTAATGTATCCCAGTTGTCTGTCGGTTCATTTAAAGATTTTAAGGCGCGTAAGTTACGTAATATGCTATCAATCAACAATCGAATCTGTTGTGGACATTCCTTAGTGACAGACGGAACATTAAATAATGCCTTCACATGATTATGCACCAAAAGTCGCTCGTTATGAAACCTATTCTCCAATAACTCCCATGCGTGAATGTAATTGGAACCCTTAAATTCTAATGCACTTATGACTTTTAAAGCGCTACCACTCACGGATGACTTTAAATAAAAGTAAATGAAAAAATAAATGAAACTATATGGATGAAGCATAACTAGGAATAACTACATAATTAGTTATTTTTAGTTGACGTGCTGGAAATCGAACCTGTCATCAGGTAGAGGGAGTAGGTAACTCTGTAAGACCACTTTAACCACAATAGCATTAGAAAGCACTTGTGAGACCATTGAAAACTGATTAAAAAGCCAATCACAAGTAACTACCTCAGCAACAAAGTACGCTTGATAAAATAATTATGCATATTAATCGGTGTATTTGTCTAGACTACTCATAAAAGTTTATAAGAGCGTCCAATTAAGAATCACAGCGATAGCAAATTATTTAAAAACTGCTACTAATTTAATAGTGAATGTGTACTGTGTGTATTTTGTTTTGTGTTAAAATAATCTGTTAATCAGAATGCAAGATGACAAAATTGGGGATGCAGAAAAAGTTACATTTGAAGAAGCCCTCAGTAAAACAGGTAGGATATTTAAATATATTCATCACCATTTCAGCCACATCACATCCATGAATTAGGCCTGCTTCAATGATTTCCAGGGAAATTAATCGGCTGGATTATCTAAGTATTTAATATTTATAATAATTTATGTACAATTTAATGCTGTTGAAACATTGTTAAACAAATAAAATAAAATAAAATCAGTAATATTTCCTATGAAATTTTGACTTTTGTACGGGTATTTACGAGTATGATTAAATTCCTTGGAAAAGTGTCTGTACCGAACAAGCTCTACCACCAGCAAGTGAAGTCCCAGCCCCAGCCTTAAATGTTGCTGATCAAACTTCGATCGAAAAGAAACTCCAAAAGCTCTCTACCTGGTCTACTTAATGTTTTTATTTTTTGGTACCAAACAAATGTTTTTCTTTCTTTCTTTTTAGGATTCGGCGCATACAGCTACATGTTAACATGCCTGGCTGGAGTGGCGATAATATCGTTAGCGTGTATCTTCTTCAGCAGCACCATCGTAGCGCCCGTCAGCGCCTGCGACCTTCAGACCACTAGCGCTCAGCAGGGCATGCTGGTGGCTGGGCCTATTGTTGGTGCGTGCTAGCTCGCATAAATATTTATAACTGTGTGTATTTCAAAGTCTGTAAACCCTTGAAAAAGAGGCTGATAATAGTGACTGAGTGTTTTGCGCTGCTTCTACTCAGCAATGGCCCATTTATTGTCCTGAAGCAGTGGTAGGGTTAATACTGGGACGTGTAAAAGTGTTTTTTAACCGATTGAGTCCCAGACGGCATTAATTAATGTCATAACAATTGATTATCTATTGTGTCTAGATTCGCGGAGCTTAAAGGATTAAAGCCTATGTAATTATATTACTTGTTTGTTTGAGAGTACTTAGGCTTTGTTTACCAAAAACCGGGCACTCTATTATTTTTTAAATGGAACAGAACACAGTCTTCTTCACGTGTAGAGATCCTGAAAATATCCTATATAAATATTTTTTCCTTTTCCCTCAACGATATTGAGAATAACATCAAAATAGATTTGTGTGGGTCTACCTACATCTCTAGAGTCGTCAAAAATTCGTTGTTAAGTATTTAATGTGCCTTTTATGTTCACAATTTGTAATCCATGACCAATTAATCCTGTGGTAAATATTATAGGGTCCATACTGGGTGCCATCGTATGGGGCTACTGGGCGGACCAGCACGGCCGAAGACGCACCCTCATTTTGTCATTGCTCTTGGGAGCAGCAATCAACATGGTATCCAGCTTGTCGGTGGACTGGGTGATGCTGCTGGTGTTGCAGTTTATTGCTTCTTTGATGTAAGTGGTGTAGCTTTTGAATAGACACCGTTCACACGTTCAATATAAGGGCAAAGAAATGAGGAGCTGTAAACTTCGCTTTCACCATCAATCCCTAATTTTTAAGTGACTCCTTTGAAAACAAAATTCCTGTTATGTGTCTCCATAGGGGTCACTTAAAAGTTAGGAACTGATGGTGAAAACGGGCATTAGACCCCTCGTAACTAGGGCGCTCTGAAAGTTTCAACGGGACGCCTAGTTTTTTAGGTATATTAGCAGTGGATATAACTATACAATATCGATATTGTTCCTCTAATTGTTATTTATCCTTTCTAGGATCGCAGGGCAGTACTCACTGGCAATGACTCTTCTAAGTGAATGTGTGCCGATAGATCGCCGAACCATCGTCGTGATGATGGTCTCCAGTATTTATCTTCTGTCGCAGGGAACCATGGCTGGTATGAACTTCATATGTTAACTAAATTACTCTGATCATCTTTATTGTCATCATAAAACTCAAAAAACTCATAAAACTAATTTATTTCTGTAAATAGACTTTAAAAAAGCACTTTTACACGTCCCAGTATTAACCCTACCACTGCTTCAGGACAATAAATGGGCCAGTAAATAAGTGGCCATCCTAAGGTAATGCTTTGTAATAAACCTAGGTAGGTATTTACAGGTTCTTGTTTGTTTAGTTTTAGCCATGCCAATAATACCGTTAAGCTTCTCCTTCTACCTGCCTTATCTGGACATCCAATTCAACTCCTGGCGACTCCTGCTAGTCATCTACTCCGTGCCCAGTGTGCTAACCGCCGTCTGGCTCTACTTCATGCAAGAGAGCCCCAAGTTCGTGTATTCGAAGGGGAGAGAGCAGAAGGCGTTGCAGATTTTGAAGATTATTCATGGAATAAACAATAGAAGATCTCTTCAAGAATATCCAGTAAGTAGAAGGACATTTAGCCAAACACTTCTTAAGTATATTTTGGCAACAAGTATACTAATAATATTATGTCAGACTCTGGGTAAACGCACTGCGATTTTTCTCATTGCACGAAGGTTATCAGTTCTATTTAAATTAATAAACAATTTGACGTAAATATGAAATCAGTGCAGTGGCTTAATTTTAATGTGTCGTCCACCAATATTTGTTTAGTAGCTACTTTGGCTCAAATACTCGCAATATCCAAAATACAAATTGGAAAAAGCTCCTATAATTTAAGAGGACTTTCCGATATAACTATCGATAGTAATATAACAAATCAACCGTTCATAGGTAAAATGTCTGACTAGACGAAGGTCTCACACTGAAGGGGCGGTTACTACAGTCAACCACATAACACCGCTGTTTCGGAAACCTCTGCTGAAGTACACGATCATCATGAACCTCCTCTTCCTATTAGACCAGTTGGGTAAATTTAATTTGGTTACATCATATTTAATGTAGGCAATAAAATTCTCTATGAAATAGGTACCAAACGTCCCTTGTCTGTCAAGGATTAGTCCTAATGTAGAGTAAGGTGTTATTGTTTTCTAGATTGATTGATTCGATTAACAATGAGTAGATAAATCCTAGCTAGAGACTTGCCAACCCCAGGCCGTATTTAAGAATTTAAAGTGGCCCGCCCAAGTATTGTATGAACACACCAAATTCAAAAATCTCGACGCGCACTGTAAGTACAGCTCGGTTCCAATTTTATGACCTCTCTGAAGTTAAATGTCAGAAATGTAAGTGGCCCATCGTTAACGACTGAATCCACCATTTGGCCCGACTCTTCAATAGGTTGAGCAGCCTTAAGGCAGTAGCGGCGTAAGGGGGGGGCGGTGGGGGCGGTCCGCCCCGGGTGCCAAGCATCAGGGGGTGACAAAGTCGCGCAGATTAGTACTCACTGACGCATCTGCATGGCAAGGACGGTCGTGATGTCATGACAGGGGGGGTGCCATTCTGGGGTGCCATAGGCTATANTGCTACGCCGCCACTGCCTTAAGGCACTTGTCCTAGCTCATTAAAATAGGATATCCGAAGGTGACTATAAAGTGCTCTTACTCTATTAACAAAATACCCACCTTCTCAGACTTTCAGCCTTCAAAGTGTGGCTTCCGACAATAGCGAATCATTTCATGCAGACTTCCCACACTGGAAATGGAACTCATCTCAACCTGTGCGACATCATAGCTACCAGCGTCAAGGACTCAGAGGAAGTGAGTATCAGCCTCTTACTATAAGATTATGATCGCTTTAGCATATAATATAAACATGTTTGTGAAATTAGCCAGGGAATTACTGGCATTCTGTGCATTTCATATTAGTTATTTAGGCTTGGGTACATGCTTCAATGTGTGCTTATGAAGTTATGTAGGTACCTACAGACAGTGGTGACTGAATTTATTGCGGTGCTTCTTCTCAGCACTTGCCAAATGTTTGTCTCGAAGCGCTGGAAGGGCATTTGAGGATTTATGTACTAATTCAATTAGTCTACGCGAAATAAGATAATATTCATTGTGATTTGAACGATGCCTACTTAGTTTACTGGCCTGGCTAGTATTAATGCGCAACACGAGTTTAAGCCGCGATAAAACGAGACACTTAGAAAGGTAGGTACCCCTGTAACTTCGCAAAATTGGAAGCTCATTATGATAGTGCCATTAAGCAACAGTGTTAACCACTTAAGGGGTAAAGCCACATGAGTGGTTAACACTGTTGCTTACATACGTGATTATACCATTTCAGTCAAGTGGCACTTGCGCGTTGAACTCGAGTGCTCTCGTAATCGTCCTCGTGGTGGGTGTCATACTGTCTCTCACCAACACTGCGGTCAGTCTGGTAAGTGCATTGTTATTATAGAAGTAGGTACTCACTAACCTCGGCCCACTTTTGAGGCGTTCGTTCACATTTACCACAGCAAATACGAATAAGACAGATGCATGATACAATTCTACTGAGACAAAGACGAAATTGTCTTGATGATTTTATAGCAAAGTCCTCCAGGCGAAGCAACAAGTACCTACGGAGTAAGACCTACCTAACTTTTTTTTTAAAGATTATTATTAGCAATTTGTATTGCACAAATTACAAATAAGTAGTCCCGTTAGCCCCTTGTGTTAAGCTAAATAAGCTTGTGTTACAAGTGGGCTCACCACAATAGTCGAGCGGCGCGGGCGGGGGATTCGAACCCGTGTTCTACGGTTCTATCTAACTTACTTATGTGCCGAGACTTATCAAGTGAGGTTCCGCCAATGCAATGTTTATAATACATTACCTTTATTATAAATCGACATGGGAATTGAACTCACGAGCTAACCGATCATAACTCTCTCATAACTAAACCACTGCGCTACTGAAAACATTCTAGACATGTTTTAAATGCCATACTGTTTTTTTAGTTGGTCAGCCGAGTCGGCCGCCGAAACTTGGCCATGGCGATCACAGCGGTGTGCGGCGCTAGCGGTGTGCTGGTGAACCTGGTGCCGTACTCCGCCGCCAGCGCGGCTCTGTTCGTGCTGCAGCTCATGGGAATCGTCGTGTTTGGGCTCTACACTGCTATGTGCGTCGCGTTTTTCCCTACGTACATGAGGTAAGGAATCAAAAAAGCTCAGCCTCTGCATGGCCGTGAACCTCAGACCAAGGATGGACAGAACAAAACCATTTACGAGGCTAGTCGAAGTTGGTGAATAACTTAATGTGTTTAGCTGTGTCTGCTATTTAATTTATTAATGTATTAAAAGTAATCTAAACCCTATTGCCCTATATGATAATCATATTAATATATATTTAATTTTAATTATATAATTATGATAATAATTTACGATAATATCATCACTTTCTTTCTAGGGCACTGGCAGTAACGTTGACAATGACTGGAAGTAGAATCGCCAACTTCATCTCCATTCAGTTGATTAACTACCTCCTCACCAACAACTGCGAGATCGCCTTTTATGTATACGGGTCTGCATTGGCTTGTACGTATTTTTCATAATATTGCTTTAATTATTTTAAGGAAAGTTATTATAAATGTTCTAGTCTATTTATTTATCAGAGTAGAAGGATTGGATCAGTATGTAAATCGTTATTTAAAAGCCGTTTTAACTGAAATGTTTCTGTTTATAATTTCGAAATTCGTAAACACAAGTCATGTGATTTTCATTACTTTTCAGTTTCAACAGTGATAGCATCATTTCTCCCTAACGACCACCGTACCAGAACAACACAGCACGAAATATTGGAGGAAGAAGTGGCAGATGGAAGCATCGATAGTTTTTGATTAATAAATTATTAAATAAAAATAAATAATGCACTTTTTTGTACATTTCCTGGCCTGAATCTGAAAAATAAAGCTTAACCCATTTAGCCCTACCGTACCCTATGTGGTACGGTATCTTTTTGAAAATATTTCGAAGTACCAAACTGTTGTTAATTTGTAAAAATGATTGTGACAGTAAGCTTAAAGTGATTATTTTACATAAAAATATTTAAAAATATGTTTTAACAAGTGGTTTCGGAAATATTTATGAAATTCCTCGACAGAAAACAAAAAAAATATTTACAATGCATTTAAGAAGGTATAATTTCTTATTATTCATTGTAAATTATGTTATTTATCAATTTCATTTTAAAAATAGAGTACAATAGATATCATGACTACAAAAAAAATATTATTGAGATTATTTTTATACGGTTTATTCCAGTCTAAAATAGGTGTACCGTATAAGGTACAGTAGGTCTATGCATCAACAAATCATGCGAAAAAATATAATTTAATTTTTATTATTTTTATTTGTTTTAGATCCCAATATGATAAGATACTAGTCATTTGCGCAAAGTACACTTAAAAGTATGGATTAAAATTATTAAAAACGCTGACTACTAAGTAGGAATTTCTTACAATTTTTTTTTAAATTTGACCAATAAATTAGAAAACAAGCCTCGTAAACACTTTCAATAATGTCAATGTTCGACGTCAAAGTTGACAGCTGATGTCAATCAGTTATCAAACGCCAGTCGCCCTCTGATAACGATTAGTGTTCTCCTTCGGCCAATAATAAATGTGAAATAAAAGCATCTCTGTGGGGTCAGGGTCGTAGCCACCGCTGAGCAAGGTACAAGGATTTCATCTGCTTCACCCTAAGGTACAGTGTCGTGTGCAGATTCGTTTAATTTCACCCTCAAAGTCACTACTGCAAAGTGGCTGCGTCCTCATTGATTTTTTCATAAACCAAGCCTGTAAATATTGGTTCTGGGACATCACGCCGGGCGTTACGTGTTGTGGGTGGTTGTCGATGCCCTACGACCCACATAAGTCGCTGCCCAATTTTTAAGGCACTGCTAAGTTAGAGAACTAAATGTGCCAAGTGTACAGTGCATAATGCCCAACAAGTGTTCTTAGTCGCATGTCATACTAATTAATAATTTGAAGTGAACTAGATAGTTTTGAATCAAGTTTATAAATTATCTTCTCAATGAAATATACTCCTTAGTCTCCATAACACTCAATTAGTATTAGTTTATAGAATTTATAGTCATTATCAAATCAATTTGGTAAATATCTGACAACTTATTTAGAAGTACACTATTGTGGGATTGATTATAATTAAAGACATTTTTTATATTGAAATGATGTGATTATTAATTTTAAAATAAATAATTATGTAATATCAATTTTAAATTGATATTGAACTTCACAATTTCTTCAGAAAGTAGGTTCCTGAAAATTTAAAGTAAGATTGCCAGCAGCATTATCAACCCCCACATATTTCGTGTGGAGGGAAAGCCCACAAGTTTGGGTAAGACTTCCCATGCAAATCAGAGTGTATTGAGTTTCAATGGTAATCCTCTTAGCAGGAACTAACTTGTACTTATGACCATTTTTTGTATCACTTTCACTAGTGATTATATTTTTACGCATTACAACATTATTATACTAACTCCTTGATTAAAAAATTTGTAAAAATAGAATTATCTTCATAAAGCATAGCTACACCTTGTGTTTTGTAAACTTTTTTATTTTTCTAAGGTTTTCACAATAGAAATTTTCTTCTATAACTTTATTAAAGCATCATAACATTTCTTCTCCTATCTTTCTTTTCTTTATACATAAATTAGTTTGTTGATAGTTGTCCGTAACCTCTTAAGCAGGCGTCTTATCGCTCACCATGGCGAGTGGTTCGTGGGAGGAGTTCTTTGCTGTGCACCTCCCTCCGACTGACTTTGAAGACAACCGGTCGCTGCTGAAAGAGTTCTGTGAACGCCATGATCAGTACGGGAACAAAATTGCACTTGTGACTGTGAGTATATTCAAATGTATTTANTATTTAGTTACTGAGGATCAGTACTGTTGTAGAAAATTCAATAAAACTATCTATGTTAATCTTTAAGACTTAAGAAAGATATATCTTTTTGAATTATCTAAATCGGACCATTACTTACGAAGATATTAAGTAATAAACATAGGCCGTTTTTGCCACTAAAAGTCATCGTACGCAGGGCCGTATTCCTACTCATAATATCTAACAAATTTTCATGATGATATGTAATACATTATTTCCAATTGGAAAACAAAAATGTTATATCAGTTGTTCAAGTATGTTATATGTATTAATTAATTTATTTATTAGCCATGCAAAACGAAGAAAGTGGTATTCAATTTCCTGTAAAATACAATTTTAATTTCCTTAAAAATCAATAGATATTTTAGCTTGTTAGTCAACGTGTTCCCGCACTAGTGACGTCATCGATTTTTCTTTTAAATCTATGGCAGTCACGTACGAACAGCTCATACTACTCTAATAAGAGACATACATTACTTAAAATGAGTGAAAGAAATTGGCTTTATCTCTCTCTCAAATGCCATACACAAGGCGAGTAAAGGGGATGTCCAGAGTAGAATATACAGGATGTCCCAAAAAGTAGTGTCAAGCCAACTATAACTCGAAAAAACTATCAAAAATCACGAAACATACATGGGGGTGATTTGGATAGCCCTAGTGATGCTCTGCTTCTGGGCTTCAGCTTGATACTACTTTTTGGGACACCCTGTATACTGCTTTTAATGTTGAAGACTGCAGAATTATTTTGAACCTTATTCCCCAGTCCGGAGGCACCACAGTGCCGCTCGAACACAACACGGTTCGCTTCGTGGACAACTTCAGCGCGGGCACGCGGGGGTCGGCCTCCGCGGAGTATTTCTTGGAGCAAGGATACGCCGTCATCTTCATGCACCGGCAGAAGTCGCTGGAGCCCTTCACTCGGCACTTCAGCGGGCAGAAGCTACTTGATATGCTGGATATACAGGAGAGAGGGCCCAATACTAGCATTACAGGTAAGAAGTGTGGATTTTGATTCTTTTGAAAGAAAAGTGCTTCTAATCTTGCGTGCAAATCCGCTGTTTTCTAATGTCATTCCAAAGCTTGATCTATTAATTTGTATTGTCACAAAGCTATTCATGAACTGAAATTATAAACTACTACCTACTGCTGTATTTGAACACCAAAATGTGTGTTTTTGTTTGTCAACACTGGATTCGAATTTCCACCTCCTTTTTCATTTCGGCACTAAAATGGCTGTGTATGCGGTTTACGAGGAGTGTAATATTATAATCTATGTTTAACTAAAAGAGGTTCACCACTGGAGAAAGGCAAAGAATTTCCTTTACCGTCCGGTTCCCGCGACTTTCACCAGATGGAACTGTCCTGTAGATTGTATTTTCGTCTCTTCCAGTGAAACCAGACAGCGTAGACGTGTTAGCTCCGATCCTGCTGCGATACAAAGCAGCGCACGCTGCAGGTGCCATCTTGCACGTGGCCTTTACCACAGTATCGGAATACTTCTGGCTACTGAGAGCTGCTTGCGAGTGCCTGGCCAACCTGGGAGCCAGGGCTGTGCTGTACCTAGCAGCTGCGGTGTCGGACTTCTACGTTCCTAAGGATAGAGTGGTGAGTGGGAATAGAGACTTTAATAATTACGTGTTAGAGCCCATTCTGCTGTACGCGGCCTGCGAGTGACTGGCCAACTTAGGATCCAGGGCTGTGTTGTACCTGGCCGCTGCGGTATCGGACTTCTACGTTCCTAAGGATAGAGTGGTGAGTCGAATTGAGACTTTAATACTTAAGTCTTAGAGCCCATTCTGCTGTACGCGGCCTGCGAGTGCCTGGCCAACTTAGGACTGTGTTGTATCTAGGCACGGTATAGGACTTCTACGTTCCTAAGGATAGAGTGGTGAGTCGAATTGAGACTTTAATACTTAAGTCTTAGAGCCCATTCTGCTGTACGCGGCTTGCGAGTGCCTGGCCAACTTAGGATCTAGGACTGTGTTGTATCTAGCCGCTGCAGTATCGGACTTCTACGTGCCTAAGGATAGAGTGGTGAGTGGGAATTGAGACTTTAATACTTACGTTTTAGAGCCCATCTTACAGTGCGCTGCCTTCGAGTGCCTGGCTAACCTAGGAACTAGAGCTGTGTTGTATGTAGCCGCGGCGGTATCGGGCTTCTACGTTCCTAAGGATAGAGTGGTGAGTGGAATTGAGACTTTAATACTTATGTCTTAGAGCCCATTCTGCTGCACGCGACTTGCGAGTGCCTGGCCAACTTAGGAGCTAGGACTGTGTTGTATCTAGGCACGGTATCGGACTTCTACGTGCCTAAGGATAGAGTGGTGAGTGTGATCAAAGGATAATTATAAAAAGAATCGAAACAGCATTAATTTTGGAAAAAAATACACAACATGTTTTAAATTCTCAAAGTGGCTGTCATAATACCAAACGAAGGTATACTTACCTACTACTAATGTCACTTCATCCAATGACTCTTTTTCAGAAAAAACTATCCATAAAGTACGTCACACGAATTTCATGATTTTTTGAGCCCCCCTCCGTCCTTGTCACAGGTGGTCACATTTCTGAGGCCCCCCCCTCCCTAGTGTGACGTCACATGTTTTGCAATTTCACATAGAAAAATTATTAAATAAACAGCAGTTCTGAAATTAGTTTTATTTCCATTTAAATTAAGTAACTTTTTTTTTATGAAATCAACATTATATCAAATATTTGAAACAATTGAAATGTGATGTCACGAAACTTAGGACCCCTCCCNTGTATTTAATTATACAGATTTAGTTGTGAATGAGTAGTGTGAATGACATTGAGTGATTTTTGGGGGTGGAAATGTAGGACATTCCTACATATAATATCTAAAAAAAATTCATAATGATATGGATTATTAAGATGTCTTATCAAATTAATTCCAATTGGAAAACAAAAATGTTATATCAGTTGTTCAAGTACGTATTTATGTATTAATTGATTTATCATTAGCCATGCAAAACAAGAAAGTGGTACCTATTCAATTTCCGGTAATTTCCGATCAACGTGTTCGCGCACTAGTGACGTCATCGATTTTTCTTTTAAATGGACAGCTCTTACTACCCTAATAATAGACATGCATTAATTAAAAATCGTGAAAGAGATTAGCTCTATCTGTCTCTCTCAAATGCCATTGTAACAAGGCGAGTAAAAGAGATGTCCAGAGTAGAATATACAGGCTGTCCTAAAACTCGAAAACTATCAAAAATCGCGGAACATACGTGGGGGTGATTTGGATAGCCCTAGTGATGCTCTACCTCTGGCTTGACACTACTTTTATGTGACACCCTGTATACTGCTTTTAATGTTGAAGACTGCAGAATTATTTTGAACCTTATTCCCCAGTCCGGAGGCACCACAGTGCCGCTCGAACACAACACGGTTCGCTTCGTTGACAACTTCAGCGCCGGCACGCGAGGATCGGCCTCTGCCGAGTATTTCTTGGAGCAAGGATACGCCGTCATCTTCATGCACCGGCAGAAGTCGCTGGAGCCCTTCACTCGGCACTTCAGCGGGCAGAAGCTGCTTGATATGCTGGATATACAGGAGAGAGGGCCCAATACTAGCATTACAGGTAAGAAGTGTGGATTTTGATTCTTTTGAAAGAAAAGTGCTTCTAATCTTGCGTGCAAATCCGCTGTTTTCTAATGTCATTCCAAAGCTTGATCTATTAATTTGTATTGTCACAAAGCTATTCATGAACTGAAATTATAAACTACTACCTACTGCTGTATTTGAACACCAAAATGTGTGTTTTTGTTTGTCAACACTGGATTCGAATTTCCACCTCCTTTTTCATTTCGGCACTAAAATGGCTGTGTATGCGGTTTACGAGGAGGATAATATTATAATCTATGTTCAACCAAAAGAGGTTCACCACTGGACAAAGGCAAAGAATTTCCATTACCGTCCGGTTCTGCGCTGCCCGCATCCAGCCGGTTCCCGCGACTTTCACCAGATGGAACTGTCCTGTAGATTGTATTTTCGTCTCTTCCAGTTAAACCAGACAGCGTAGACGTGTTAGCTCCGATCCTGCTGCGATACAAAGCAGCGCACGCTGCAGGTGCCATCTTGCACGTGGCCTTTACCACAGTATCGGAATACTTCTGGCTACTGAGAGCTGCTTGCGAGTGCCTGGCCAACCTGGGAGCCAGGGCTGTGCTGTACCTAGCAGCTGCGGTGTCGGACTTCTACGTGCCTAAGGACAGAGTGGTGAGTCGAATTGAGACTTTAATACTTAAGTCTTAGAGCCCATTCTGCTGTACGCGGGTGGCGAGTGCTTGGCCAACTAGGGCGCTAGAGCCGTGCTGTACTTAGCTGCTGCAGTATCGGACTTCTACGTTCCTAAGGATAGAGTGGTGAGTCGAATTGAGACTTTAATACTTACGTGTTAGCACCCATCTTGCTGTGCGCGGCTTTAATTTGGGTGCCAGTTGCCAGGGTTGTGCTGTATCTAGCCGCTGCGGTGTCGGACTTCTACATGCCTAAGGACAGAGTGGTGAGTAGGAATAGAGACTTTAATAATTACGTGTTAGAGCCTATTCTGCTGTACGCGGCTTGCGAGTGCCCGTCCAACTTAGGAGCTAGGGCTGGGTTGTATCTAGCCGCTGCAGTACCGGACTTCTACGTGCCTAAGGATAGAGTGGTGAGTGGGATTGAGACTTTAAATACGTAAGTCTTAGAGTCCATTCTGCTGTACGCAGGTGGCGAGTGCTTGGCCAACTAGGGCGCTAGGGCCGTGTTGTATCTAGCCGCTGCAGTATCGGACTTCTATGTGTCTAAGGATAGAGTGGTGAGTCGAATTGAGACTTTAATACTTAAGTCTTAGAGCCCATTCTGCTGTACGCGGCCTGCGAGTGACTGGCCAACTTAGGATCCAGGGCTGTGTTGTACCTGGCCGCTGCGGTATCGGGCTTCTATGTGTCTAAAGATAGAGTGGTGAGTCTGATCAAAGGATCATTATAAAAAGAATCGAAACAGCATTAATTTTGGAAAAAATACACAACATGTTTTAAATTCTCAAGGTGGCTGTCATATACCAAACATAGGTATACTTACCTATTACTACTGTCACTTCATCCAATGACCCTTTTACAATAAGAACTGTGATGAGTAAATAATAATCCAAATTCTTTCCAGCCTACCCACAAGATGCAGTCAGCCAGCGGTGCGCCTATCATCCAACTACACCTGGTGCCCAAGATGTTGGCTCCTCTGGTTAACCTGTGGGTGCCCGCCGCTTATGTGGTGTCCTTCAAGCTGGAAACTGATGAGAACCTGCTCATACCCAAAGCCAGAGCTGCCCTAGACAAGTATAAACATAAGGTAAATATTACTAAGAGATCAGACATCGTTTCTCCTTTTTAAAGTAGTTAATGTTTATCGCTTTGGACAATAGTTGCTGACCGATTAACACGTTTTGGACAATGGTTGCTGACCGATTAACACGTTTTGGACAGTGGTTGCTGACCGATTAACACGTTTTGGACAATAGTTGCTGTCCGATTAACAAGTTTTTGACAAAAGTTTCTGACCGATTTACAAGTTTTGGACAAAAGTTGCTGACCGATTAACACGTATTGGACAATGGTTGCCCGCCGATTAACAAGTTTTGGACAATAGCTGCTGTCCGATTAACACGTTTTGGACAATGGTTACCCGCCGATTTACAAGTTTTGGACAATAGTTGCTGACCGATTAACACGTTTTGGACAACATTTTTTTTATGTCCACTGCTTCTAGAAGAACTTTTGTCTTTTATTTCAGATGGTCGTAGCAAACCTCCTACAGACGCGCCATCACAGGGTGATCCTAGTGTCGCCTGAGGCGAGCCAAGAAATTGTTCTTACTAGAGAAGAAGTACACGCTGGTAAGTTTTATTTATTCTATTTTATTTTTATATAGAGTTAACAGCCCAAAATATGAATTATTATTGAAGTTGAGACCGACCTTATTCACGGCACAAAAAGAGCTATTTTTGCGAAGCAATTGTTACATTTTTGAACTTAATTTGTATATTACGATAAATGCGATGAGGCTGGATATTTCCAGTTCAAACGTCTCTCAGGAGACTCAGGATTTGTTTAAATCATACTTAATTTCTTTTACCACATGTTACTTAACGATTACATTGATATTGATCCGATTTTGCCTTAAGCATTGTTGGGGCAGATGTTTAAATGAGATGATTCTTGAGATGAATCCAGTATTACAAATCTTTGATAGCAATAGGGATGATGACTGGGTAATTAAATCGAAATTCTATTTAGTCCGTCAGACAGATAATTAGAAAATATTAGACTCATATTTTTTGTTTTTTTCCCTAATCGAATAATTACAGTATTAATATTGAGTTGAAATGTCGCGTGACGTCACTTTTGAGTAAAAATTCTACTCAAGCGTGATGTGCCATTCAACTCGATGTAGCACTGTTATTATTTAATTATGAAAGAAAATAAAAAATATGAGTCTAATTATCTGTCTGACGGACAAATAATTGAAATTTTGTCATCTAGCCTATTGATGACGGTCATGGCTCGTGGAGAAAGAGGTTGGGAGTCCCGCCGAACGACGCCAGTTAGGGATGAGGATCCGTTGTTACCGTGGTGATTGATGTAGGTGGCACACGTGGCGGTGTAGATAGAGCTCGTGTCGCTAACAAGTATCGATAGATTACCGATAGTATATCGATGCAACACTAAAGCCTTGATCACACGTACCGAGAAATCGGGCGAGACAGTGCTCTCGGCCGAGCAAAGCGACGAGACAGTAGCTCGACTCCCGTTCAACTTACTAGGCCGAGTATCCACCCTCCCGCTTCCCCGCACTGTCTCGCTCGCTCGCTCGGCAGGTCTGAACGTGCACTGTCTCGCCACTGGCCACTCGGCCAAATGATTGACGTCACGTCCACAGATTAGAGAAAAAGAAAAGTCTCAATAGAACTGAATTGACTGTGCTAATTTCAAAACACGTGTGAACAGCTACTCGCTTACATCACTGTCTCGCCCGTTTACTCGGTACGTGTGATCAAGGCTTAACTAGTATTTATTACCTCTACCCGATCCACAGGCGTGGACATCGAGTCGGCGATCGTGTGCGAGATCGTTCGCTTGCACAGCGAACATTTGGCGGGCGCGGGCGAGCGCGCCGACCCGCCGCCGCAGCCGCGCTGATTGTCGCGCGTCCGCCGCCGCCTCTACCTCACGCCGGAATAGGTGAGGCACACCACTACTATACACTAAGCGACAGTGCACACTAACACACTATTTCACAGCGAAATGGCGCGCGCACGCGTTTTGTGGCCGCGTCTGTCGCCGCGATTCGTTGTCCAATGTGCTCTGTCGCTTAGTTGGCGAGTGGCCACAACACTACGATTACGAACAACGAAATTGGTGAGTGACCGCAATACGCATGGTCTTTCGGCAAAAAATACGTAACGATATGATTCTGCCGATACGATACCGATTACTGTGTGAAATAAATGGCGATACCGATACCAATACCGATATCGATGGCTTAGTAGATAAAAAATATAAATGTACTTTTTAAATACATAAAAGTAAACACCTAAATTGATGAAAAGCCAATTCGTCGTCGTCGTTTCAGCCAAATGACGTCCACTGCTGGACAAAGGCCTCCCCCAAGGTTTTCCACAATGAACGGTCCTGCAATGAAAAGCCAATTCAAAAACAACTATTTAGGTAACTAGCAAAATGTGCTGAACCACCTTTAATTTAATATCTAATGCTACTTACCATTGTCCAAAAAAAATGTTTAATTAATTTTATTCATAATTAAATCACATTCGATATGAAATATTATCTATCAAAGTGGCACAAAAAATGGAGTGACAATGCGTTCCCAAGCGCGAATTTTTTTTCACAGTTTTATTAACTGGAAATGCCGATATATCGGTATCGGAATCGTTACATCCCTAAAAATACCATTTTTTGCTTCCCATAGCATCGGCCATCCTTTATAACTCTAAGGTTTCATTACCTATCAACTTCATCCTTGATTTTCAACAATTTAAAGAACCTATTTTATTTCGCTAGGCCGCCGCGGACGAGCCACAGCCACGCTGCGGACAACGTAGTATAAGAGTACCATGACCTCCTAAATTACACGCGAGTGATTCATTCTGACGGACAGCGGGGCTACTCCGAAAAACGTTATTCGAAGTTTCGAATGTTCCATCCCCTTCACGCAAAGCGAGATCCCAGCATGTTCGACGGAGACAGACAGACCCGAAACTACACGAACAGTGTTTCGTAATAGCCCTACTGGTGCGGACGTGTACTCAGCCTTAGTTAAAACTGCAAAGGGACAGGGCAATTTATTTGTAACACCATTTAATTATTGATACTTGAATATTTGTGAAGATAATAACAATTTGTTTTGTTTAGTCTACCTACAATATCTATAAGGAGGTCATTTTGTATTGAGGATACTCGCAACTCGAGTAGTATACAGGATGATTAAATTAGTTATATCCAAATTGATGGACATTTCTCGTGTTGTTTGTAACTAGTTCACCCTGTATATTATAGAAGTAGGTTACTTGTGTGTACTTGTTAGAGTTTTATAAATCTCCATGTGCCCCAGTAATCGTCTATTTATAGGTTTTATATGTCTTTATTGTGTATAGAATTGGAATGTTTGTATATGTGAAAAAACTTTACCAAATTGAAAAGGTCGGGATTCTCTGACTACTCTGGTGGTTTCTCTCGTAGTATTTTCAAAATTGCAAGATTTTAAAAATTCTTTTAAAAAAACCTGTATATTGCATAGGAGTAACAGAGTCTTCAGACCTTTACATAAGACCTTAGAGGTGCTAAGAAAAGTATTATGAAGTTGGTTCTGAGAAGGTTAGTACAGAAGGGAAGTAAAATTTAATTTTAACTAATCATAGATTTTTCCAATATAAAGAGAATTATGAAGAGAATTGTTATTAATTTGATCGAGTCTGGATGTATGTCTACCTTTCAAGATAATGATACCATCTAAGTGAAATTCATATCATTTGATAATGACATATATTTTATAACACCAATTATTAAACACGCAGTGTACCATTTCCTTCTCTTGTGTACTGGTGGAATATACTTTATTTACGTACTGTTGTATGTATCAAATTATATTTAATAAATATATTTTACACTTCATATGTAAATATGAATAATATCATTATAATTAAACTGAGCAAATATTGCAGATCATACTTCCAATATTGTTGTCGTGAAAACATATACATTTTATCATTATAGAATACTTGGAAGTGTTATTAGATATAAAATAAGGAGTCGTTAAGGTTGACGAAATGAATTGCATAGCTTTACACACTTAATTTCGGTTTAAATTCAATGGGATTACTCCGAAAAACGTTACGCAAAGTTTCGAATATTGTCATCTCTCTCACGCAAAGCGAGATGCTAGCATGAGAGACGGTAACAGTTAGATCCAAAACTAAGTAGTAGGCCTATAGAGCGCCTCCATTTCGTTCCTGGTTCGCTTCGGTGACCTAATGGATATACAAACTTTTTATTTGGATAGCTGATTTAGGGCTCCGAGAACCTCAGTAATTTAGATTTTTATACACAAACAACAGCTTGTATAAAATAGCACAACTTTTGTACTTATGCATTCGTAAGCTGCCATCATCATGCTGATTATGTTTTGGAATCTAAATCAACGTATATTTTTCGGATTTCTGGTGTCGACTATACTCTATTAACGTATACATAAACGACTGTCGGTGTTGTATTTGAGTGTAATTTGTAATGTATACCCTCGTGGTGTCTTAACTATCTCGAATTATCTTCTTTAGGACCATGCTAGTATCTTTTGGTATATTGTATATTAACGGATAGGGTTACATTCATTCAAACATTAAAAGTAGGTAAAGTGTAACCCTCAGAAAGAATGAAAAATGTAATCTACTTTTGTAGTTAACAAAAGATGCTATGAACTTTGATCAGTGATATCTTTTATGTAGGCAACCTGAAGCTATTAATGTATGACTTGGTTGTACACCAAACTTCAAGTGTCATATCTTGCACTAGCTACATACAGAAGGGGGCAGGGAGGCATCTAAAACCTACCTTATGTTCTTAGAAGAGTGGGTGACCCTGCCTTAATTTGCCCCCATGGCTCAGACTGTCAAGACAACCCTGGCCTAAGCTGCCCTCTCCCCCCTCTAGCCCAGAAACAAAGGCCAGAAGTGGGCAGCCCCTCTGGCCTAATAGGTGAACTGCACTATTCCGAATTGATATTATTGATCAAAGGTAGCTGTTATCCAATCAAAAAGAACTCTTAGTGTTAAAGTATTATAAAGTGTAATCGAGTGGGTATTCAAGTATTGATGTCTATAACGAAAATATGTTGTATTTATGAGATTTTTATTCGTTTTCAAAATGTCTTGTTGTCTATATCGTATGTATAGAGTTCTACATATCAGGAGGGAAAATTCTTGAAATTATGTTTTTTATTGCAAAATTTAGTTATTTATTATAAAGTAATTATACGAGTACATATGTGTGGTTTGTAAAAAAAAGCGTGTAACACGCTCTTGAAAACAAAATTGTATTTCATAATTTTATTGGCTACTATCTAAAAGGTTTACATTTGTATTTGCTGTGTTAAGCATATTATAGAAGGGTTCAGTATGTTCTAATTGTTAAGTTTAGGTAAATTATTGGATATTAAAGGGTATTTATTGCATAAATATTATGTGGATGTTCAGATTATTCATATGTATGTATTAGAGCGTATTCGTATGTAGTTTTAAATATTGTTGATGTAATAGGGAACTTTACTCCCAACTCGGCGCAGATGGCGCCACTATAAAACTGTCACGTGACCTTGTTGACGTTGTCACGCCATCTGTTGAGAAATCTTAGCATTTCCCTATACATATTTGTGTGCATTTTCTATACATATTTTAATGCGTTCTATGTTTTTACTTGATGTGTTTAGTTTAATAATGTGACAAAGGATAAACATATCTAAAAATGGAAGTACATTTGACTGGTTACATTAAAAATTGCCAATACTTGCTCCAAATCTTAGCATTCCGCTATTATGTTGTTTTTATTTTATAGTGCCAACTGACAAATCATTTATGTCATTTCTATTAGCTCAAAATAGGTATGTAGAGTCCATTCTTCATAGAATACTAATTTTTATACATAAAGCACTTTCAATAAAAAAAACTGCCAATGATTTTCATTTTGCCAATGTCAACTATAAAGGTGAGCATAGATTAGAGCATTTACTTGTAACAGAACAACGAGCCGCTCCATTAATTTTGTGGTGTCACTTGAAAGTGCACACCATTTTACGAACCATTCGTACATTTTACCTGAATGAGGGTTTTCGCGATTGAAAAATCCGCCAGATGGCAATACGTAGACGGGAGGTCCAAATGCTGCATGATTGGTGGATTTTGACATATCTGTCAATGTCATGTCAAAAATAACCAATCATGCAGCATTTGGACCTCGCGTCTACGTATTGCCATCTGGCGGATTTTTTAATCGCGAAAACCCTCATTGACAAGAACTTTAGTTACACTACATGGAAATTCTCTAGTCTCTACTCGCCTTTAGATATTGGTCGGTGACTGAAAATTTATGCTGCTAAGTTAATTGTCATTATTACTTCTATCATTTATTTTCTACTGCCGCACAACATCTAGCTCACACAAAAATATCCATTGCACACAAATATGTCTAAACAATTATTTTATTCGTGGACTGTTTTATGGTAGTCGTAGAATACAACCATAACTGCCGTCAGAACTAAATACTATGTATTTATGTATAGGGTAAATTAATTTGCTTGTATTTATTATTGTTGTTTTAAAAACTCATTGGTTTCTATGATGTCTATTGCTAGTCTCTTTACCTACATAAAGTAGACTGAAACTGATTTTACAATCTCTAATACTATAGCTGTAATGTCTTTTTCAACAATACGTATCTACGGTAATGGATGGAAATCTATTTAAAATTGGCCATGTATCTTTTACAGATATATTTAATAATGTATCGCAACTGAAATCTTCAACGGTGTACTGTATTTGAACTCATCAGTTGGCACCACTGTCAAGTGACAGGAGCTTCCTTACTAGTGGCGCCAACTGGTGAACAAATACGACAAACCTATTTGTAAGTATTCGAACTACAGATAAAATATAATCATTGTAGTAACTCAAAGGCGTTTGCTTGTGATCCACATTTTAGTTTTAGAGATTGTAAATTAAACTTAGATCCTACTTTGCAGCTTTATAATTTTATTATAATGTTAATCATTATCATTAACTGATGTCAGAACAATTTTTGCGCTCCTAGCGTATTGTATTTTATATTAATCTATTTATATTTACCATTTATACATGTTAAGTATATTATTGTTTAAAATTGCACGCAACCAGTTGTATTTTTGCCCAACTAGTTCAGTAATGCGATTTTCATACATAAATGTGAGACAATAAAGTCTATAAAGACATAATTTTGGGCAGAATTACAGTGGATGTGTGCAATGACTATTTATTATATTCTATACATGTTTTATGACGATAGCGATAAAAGTCCGTTTATTTATAAATAATAAAACTGACTTATAACTCAGTTTTAACTAAACGCGTTTGCGTTTTTTTATCTTAGTGAAATCAATACTTGCCAAAAAGCGACGAAGCATTTATGAGATAAAACGATGTTATATTATGTTTAAAAGTGCATGGTCTTAAAAAACGCTAATCTGCAGGAACCTTAAAATAATTATGTCGTCATAAAACGCAAGTATAGAGCCCTTGCCCCATAACAATACGAAGGAAAACAGTTGGCGTAGTCAACTCTTACCTAATCTTGCTAAAGCTAATTCAGATTGAATTATCCTATCGATCCAGATGATATTGTAATGTTCTCAATCGCCTGCCTGAAAACAAAATATCCATGTTTTTTTTCTCAAATTAAAGCTAATTCTTTTTTCTTACTAACCTTCGGTCATTGGCACGACGGCAAATCCTACTCCACCACTTACGGGACTTATACCACCAACTTTTCCACCACTGTAAGCCTGTATAGCCAGGATCTACAGCTTGGTCTCGATTGAAATCCAACCAGTGAAGGTTATAAGCTGTGACCAGTAAGGGTTGAATGAACACCACTTGAACTCAACCCTACAGGGCAAATATGTACCATCCTAGACTGCATCCCACTTAACATCAGGTGCGATCGTGCCTTTATATGCATAAAAAACCTATCGATTTTCCCCAATATATCCGACTTTATAGTTTAAGGTTGAAAGTTAATTGAGTTTGCCGAGTGCCAACTGCCTTCGTTCGTGTTGTAAGTTTGTATGTATTATTGTACGTGGTTTATGTGTTATGGACATCGGAACTGATATGGGTATCTATTGTTGTGATATTTGTACACCTATACCGGCTCTAGCTGCGGGTGGAGATTTCACTAGACGTGGATTAAATAGTTTGTCATATTTTAATGTACTACTTTGTTTTATTTACAAAACCTTGTTCAGATTATATTCATTCTAATAAACGCTCATTGTTTCTTTGCAACTTAAAATATCGGCCTAAAATGGAAAGAACAACAACACTTTTTTGCTCTATAAAACTTTTTTAACCATAAACTTATAATTTCATAAATGACAATTAAAAAGTAAAGTCAAAAGACAATTTCTCAGTTCAAAGTTGTCATGGCCTGTCAGAATTGCACTGAAATATTTTTAAATACGTAAAGTACGCGTTTCGGTGGTTACACTGCGGTTCATGTTGTAATTTGTATTATTTTTTGTTCTAAATTGTCTTGCAATGGTAAGTACCTTCATTTATTTGTATGAATTCTATAGATCTATGTTCAGTCGACTGAACTTGTATTTGTGTGAAAAGTGTGACCGTTAAAACCTTTCCTGTTGTAGGACGAAGAAATCGAAGATCTAGTAGGCGACGTAAAATATACAGATTCACAAAAAAGTGTAGCCACTTCGAACGTGTACTCCCTGGACTTCACCGACAGTAGCTCCGATAAAAACAACTCCTCCAGCAAGGAGACCTACGTCATCGAGCTTGACGAAAGCGACGACAGCGAAACCACCTTCCACCTCCACGGAAACCAGAGCGTCATCAACCTGAGAGACGTGAGCAAGCAAAGAACACCCTCAAACATGAACATCCAGTATGAAACGATAAACAAAATCAGCAAAGCTACTTCAGCTACCTTCCACACTTGCTCCATAGCCCAAGAAATATTTACACAAACCAGCAAAACTATCATTGAACTAGCCGAAACAGAGGGTGCTATAAGAAAAGCTATAGACAACAAAACATTAGAAACCCAAACGTCGTTTATATCCATATCGGAAAACAAAACAGTCGAATACAGGATACACGTTACAGAAGCACATGCTGAATTCGCGAGACATGTAGATAATCACGTAAATAATGCCAACAATGTATGCAGCATCTCACGTAATCAAATTATCTGTAACTCTTTAGATGATGGATCTTCTAAATTTCCCATTTCTGAATCGGAGAACGATCGAACTGATGATACCAAGAGCGACAATAGTAATAGCTCTAATAACGATGAGGTCATCAAAATTGTCGACGATAAAGACGTAAAAGAAAGCGATTACAGTGAAAATAAAGAGGAGTATGGAGATAGTAGCCCATTTGAAAAATCTGATACAGATATTGATGAAGATTCTCTTATGTGCAACGAGTATATTGAAGGCAACAAAAACTATAAAGGAGATAACACAAGTGATACGAGTGAAGTACCAAAGTCGATTGATAGTGATGTTGAAGATCTGTACAAAAAGCTGTCTGAGAAAATGTGTATAAACGTTGAGAGAACTTGCGAACAGGATTTAGGTCCTCGCTTTAACACGTTGTCTCCTTTGACCGAAGAGTCCGAAAGAGTTCCAACAAAGAAAGAAAGTATTCTGGATATAACACCAGACTGCAGCAATATATCTGATTTGAAAGATGATGATAAATACTTACTCTTCACAAACAGCACTGGTATCAAGGTGAAGGCTTTGCCTAACGAAGAAACCAGAAATGATCGAGAAAATTTCAAATTGCCTCCTATAAAAAGCAATCAGTCTTGTCCTACAAGCCCTCACTTGAATTTCTTGTTTTCTGGAAACACGCAACGGTCAAATTCACATAAACCTAGAGAATGGGGTGTAGGGGACAGGTGGGAGATAGGAACGAAAGATTTGGCTGCAGGCGAAAGTCCCCTCATTAGTGGAAGAAGTGGTAAGTAAAATGGTAGATGTCTTTTAACCTTTTAAGTATGTCTTATCTAATTACGTGACTTCCTAAAAGTAAAAAGGAATATTATTGTAGATCCAGCGAGAAAACCCGACGCTCTGCAGCTACCCCCCATACACGCGGAAGGCCATCCTAAACAGAATATACCTCAGACTACAAACACATCCGAGGTTAAAGGTCCTCAGTGTTTGAAAAAGCCTGAAACTTTTCTAGCAAGAGTTAACGAATCCATAAGTATAAAAGATAAAATCACGGAGCTCAAGATGAGCAATAACAGTTTGAAGCATTGGCCATCGGGAAAGCATAATGTTACGTAAGTAGATTTAAGTCTTGGTAAGGGTGATATTAAGCTGGGTTAAGAATATCAAAGTGATAAGTAAGTTGTCAATAGAAAAAGCTTGTAATGAAGCTGAATCATAACTTGAAGAAACAACAAACCCGATTATAAAATCCACCCTCTCAGGACATCAGAAAGCAAGACAAGCAGAAGTGCATCTCCAGGCAGCGTGTCACCAGACGAGAGTCGACTGGGAGACATCGCTGAAAGGGGCTGCGACGCACTCTGCGTGGAATTGCTACGGAGACTGCGATCAGCTTCTTGGTACTGCAATTATGCTGAATTGGCGAGCGGTGGGATCATGCTGTTCTTAATCTTTAACTTTTGGGGTTTCAAAAATTCTGTATAGAGCTCCTTCACTTTGTGCTAACCCGTTCTGCACATGGTGTCTGTAGTTATCTCATGTGTCATCCTGAAGCCATTATTTTAGTTCCCCAGTTATCCGCTGGCCAGATCCTCCGCTCCTCTCTATGCAAGAGTGCGAGCTGGTTTTCAGTGACTGACAGTAACATGAAATTTAATATGACCAGGTTTGAAATAGCGGACACATTAGAAGAAATTCCAAGAGTCATGGAGAAGTTCTGGGGAATCATACCAGAACACCGCATCGCTGATCTTATCAGACAAGTTCGTATTTTTTAGTTTATTGTCTGCTTTTTTTGACAATACACTAGTTTTAAGCAACTCTTTAAATCCACTTTATCGCAGGTGAGCGGTCATGTTGAATCTCCACGTACGCAAGTTGCCCGCTCGGCATGTCATACTTTGGCGTCAGTTTTGAAAAATACTAATTATACTAAAAAACCAGTAAGTGGAAACAACAGTTTTCAATAAGTTAGACACTCCTCTCTGGTTTTAACCTGATCACCGTTGGACAGGATTTCTATGAAGCTGTGACGACGTTGCTCGTGAAGACAGGCAGCTTCAGCCGGCCGGTGCGGCGCGCTGCTAACGTAGCCCTCGACGGTATAGTGTGCGGCGTGGAGCTGACGCATGCAGTTACGGCGCTCTGCATACATGGAGTCGGGTAATGCATAATGAATTCTCGTTTGTTTCAACCAAACGTCCACCACGTTCCACAAAGAACGGTCCTGCGTTACCAAACGTCCAACCACGTTCCACAAAGACCGGTCCTGCGCTATCCGCATTCAGATGCTTTACCAGATCGTCGGACCTTGGAGTGAGAGGCATGCCTACTTGATGTTCGTTGTCAGATCCGAGGTTGCCACTCGAGAACTTTTCTGCCCCAACGCCCCAACGACCATCAGCTCCATGAGACCCGCCCACGGTCGGTAGATATCTCTTTCTATGATCTGAGGTAGATATCGTGCTCTTAAGTGTATGAGAAATCTACCTAACCCTATATGAAGGAACCTAGTTGTTTCATAACTCTCTCATGTCCATGACCGTATTACTTTCGTAATCTTAGATTACATCCATCATCTAGTTTGAATCTGGATATAAGTTTAATGTCATGTGGATGATGATGATAACTGGCGCCTTTCTAAAGAATGCAGTATTAATAATGATAATACTAATCTGAATGACAAATCTTTTTACAACGGCTTATCAGCTTATACATATTTTATGTCGGGAGAAAGTAAATTTAGTGTATCATGTACCTATAGATAAGACTAGCGGTTTTGACCGACTACTCATAGGAGGTTAATGTATCAAGAAGTACCGATTTGGTAATCGTCTCGAAGCTCTGTGTGTGGTAGCCACAACATGCCTAAAATTCCGGACTATAGTCCACAGCCCATCGATAGACAGATTCGGAACCCAAAACATCTGAAAGAAAAGTTCATGGCTAATAAACATCGCTTATCAGGCGACGTGAGGTGATCATAATATGACAAATACTCTGACTGGGTTACATTTGATTATGAAAGCAGTCTTCACTTGGTTTTGATAACAGATTCGGCTTGTATCTATATTTGCAAACTTGGTAAATAACTTGATATTCTTGAAGTTTGATAACGTATCAAATAACTACGTCAGTTTGCTCTTGTAGGTGTGGTTATTTAAACAACATTATCATCTCATGACATCTTATCTAGGGTAGTATCTTATCTTTTACATGAAGGTTCGATGTACTTCTACCTTTTTACATTGTTTATGGTTAAGATAACTTCTGGTTCCGTACCTTCAACCGTTTTTGGGTTCTACCTACTAGAAGTCTACGAGTTTTTGATAGCGTGCGACAATTTTGCGCCCCTTGCCAACTGCGACTCCTCTATTACTCAAACCCTTTACTGCTCTCACCTGGGATAGACCCAAGACCTGAATATTCTGCTATTATGTAAGACCATCAATCTAGTAATTCCATTCGCAGCCACAAAAAAAAAGCCCACTGTGGCACTGGTACGGTGTGCTGCCGCTCGTCTCCTAGTCGTGTGCTGCGCCCTAGCGGGTGGTGGAAGAGATTTGCTGCGCAGCATGCCACTCTCTTTCACTCAAATCTCTTACCGTTCTTTCAGCTCTCACTCTCAATCTAGCAATTCCATTCGCAGCCACAAAAGCCCATTGGTTAGATGTGCGGCCGCTCGCCTCCTAGTCGTGTGCTGCGCCCTGGCGGGCGGGGGGCGATACTTGATGCGCTGCGCACCACTTTCTTTCACTCAAACCTCTCACCACTCTCAACTCTCAATCTAGCAATGAGGGTTTTCGCGATTGAAAAATCCGCCAGATGGCAATACGTAGACGCGAGGTCCAAATGCTGCATGATTGGTTATTTTTGACATGACATTGACAGATATGTCAAAATCCACCAATCACGCAGCAGTCAGACCCACATCCACGTCCCGCCATCTGGCGGATTTTTCAATCGCGAACACCCTCATTCCCTTCGCAGCCACAAAAGCCCGTTGGTTAGATGTGCGGCCGCTCGCCTGCTAGTCGTGTGCTGCGCCCTAGCGGGTGGTGGAAGAGATTTGCTGCGCAGCATGCCACTCTCTTTCACTCAAATCTCTTACCGTTCTTTCAGCTCTCACTCTCAATCTAGCAATTCCATTCGCAGCCACAAAAGCCCATTGGTTAGATGTGCGGCCGCTCGCCTCCTAGTCGTGTGCTGCGCCCTGGCGGGTGGTGGGCAAGATTTGCTGCGCAGCACGCCACTCTCTTTTACTCATCATACCTCTCACCGCTCTCTCAGCTCTCACTCTCAATCTAGCAATTCCATTCGCAGCCACAAAAGCCCGTTGGTTAGATGTGCGGCCGCTCATCTCCTAGTCGTGTGCTGNGAGTGTATATTTGCAAACTTGGTAAATAACTTGATATTCATGAAGTTTGATAACGTATCAAATAACTACGTCAGTTTGCTCTTGTAGGTGTGGTTATTTAAACAACATTATCATCTCATGACATCTTATCTAGGGTAGTATCTTATCTTTTACATGAAGGTTCGATGTACTTCTACCTTTTTACATTGTTATGGTTAAGATAACTTCTGGTTCCGTACCTTCAACCGTTTTTGGGTTCTACCTACTAGAAGTCTACGAGTTTTTGATAGCGTGCGACAATTTTGCGCCCCTTGCCATCTGCGACTCCTCTATTACTCAAACCCTTTACTGCTCTCACCTGGGATAGACCCAAGACCTGAATATTCTGCTATTATGTAAGACCATCAATCTAGTAATTCCATTCGCAGCCACAAAACAAAAACCCACTGTGGCACTGGTACGGTGTGCTGCCGCTCGTCTCCTAGTCGTGTGCTGCGCCCTAGCGGGTGGTGGAAGAGATTTGCTGCGCAGCATGCCACTCTCTTTCACTCAAACCTCTCACCGCTCTCCCAGCTCTCACTCTCAATCTAGCAATTCCCTTTCGCAGCCACAAAAGCCCGTTGGTTAGATGTGCGGCCGCTCGCCTGCTAGTCGTGTGCTGCGCCCTAGCGGGTGGAGGGCGATACTTGATGCGCTGCGCACCACTTTCTTTCACTCAAACCTCTCACCACTCTCAACTCTCAATCTAGCAATGAGGGTTTTCGCGATTGAAAAATCCGCTAGATGGCAATACGTAGACGCGAGGTCCAAATGCTGCATGATTGGTTATTTTTGACATGACATTGACAGATATGTCAAAATCCACCAATCACGCAGCAGTCAGACCCACATCCACGTCCCGCCATCTGGCGGATTTTTCAATCGCGAACACCCTCATTCCCTTCGCAGCCACAAAAGCCCGTTGGTTAGATGTGCGGCCGCTCGCCTGCTAGTCGTGTGCTGCGCCCTAGCGGGTGGTGGAAGAGACTTGCTGCGCACGCGGCCCCCCAGCGCGGTTTGCGCACGGAGGCATGCGCTGAGGGCGCTCGCCGCTCTTCTGGAGGACAAGAGCACTGATACCAGGTATCAAACCTTTTTGTTATGACGTTCATTAGTTCCAAATTTGTTTTTTTTTATATATAACAAGGCAGGTGTGTTAAGTGGGATGCAGTCTAGGATGGTACATATCTGCCCTTTAAAAGCCTATTCAATTTCGCCTTGAAAACAGCAGCAGGCAGCGAATTCCACTCCCTAGCTGTTATTATTTTTATTTTTAATAAGTAATGAGGGCTATCGTTTTTATACTTAACAGTTGGCACCCCTGGCGATTGACAGAACCTTACTCTACAGTGGCGCCATCTTGATGAGTGCAAATGCGATAGTCCTCCTACCACTAGCGCTCACCAGTTGGTGTCACTGTCTTCGCTACTAACAAGTGACAGGACCTTACTCTACAGTGGCGCTAACTGGTGAGCGCTAAAACGATAGCCCTCATTGGATAGAATGTCATCAGCCAGTCGGTCTTCAATAGACTGTGAAAGTGTGACGCCACAAGCCTATAAGGTTGTGTGGGTATTGGGCAACTTTTAACAGAACGTGAAAGAAGTCAATAGCAATTTATTATAACTATGCTAAGTAGGTTACATTTAGATTATTAGGTCGTACAATTTATTGGTGTACCTACTATGAAAATTCAGTTCATAATACGAAGGGTTTCATCTAAAAGCGATAATAACCTATCTATCTGTTGTTACAGCAAACTTAATTACGCGCCTTTTGCTAATACATAATTTAACATTATCTACCTAATGAAAGTTCACCTGTAGCACATTTAACATTCATGATTCACGCTATCAATATTTAGATACAAGCGCGTGTTTCTTCATGTCCACGGTCGTGAAACACATTTTTCATGCGTAAAACCTAATTGTCACACATCAGTGATAACTGGCTGTTAAATAATTAATTAGGAATAAGTACTGCAAACTGATAAAATAATAAACTACTACAGTCACTTATTGGTTAATCTTTAATACGTTCACCTACAGTCCAGGGCAACAGCCTTGTCATTCATACAATAAATTGAAGATTAATCTTAAGATTTTTACGTAAAAATGTGTTTATCGGGGATATTTTATGTCAATGTAATAACATAATGTCCACTTTTATCACTTTGTGCATAAAAATGCATACGCTGTATCTTTCGTACTATCTACACAGGTAATAAAGCGCTATAAGATAATGCCAAGGACAATAAATATTCAAATACGCACTAAACGTCCTTTTATAGGTACAAAATATAAATAAAGGAGAACCGCTGACAGACAATTGACTATAGCTATTTGCGTGACCTGACATTGGCGGAATCACTGCGTGGCGATTCAGCGAGATTGTCCATTAAAAAAAAAAGACTTTTGGGTCAACTACCCTCCATCATTAATATTAATCAGGATAATATTAAGTACATCACAGTGTCACACTAATTGTTGCTACGGTTTGACGATATCGTGGTTTCCAAAACCCAAGTCAATGCCATGCAAAAAAGAAGAAAATCAGGTACGTTTGCCACGCGCTCAGGTTTACAACGTTAAAACTGTTTTGTTCTTTTTTTCAACGTATTTTTTCCAGGCTCATCTGGCCGTCTGGTTTCGTTTTGAACTATTTTTTTCTTTCTTTTAACGTATTTTGTTTCAGCCAAATGACGTCCGCTGCTGGACAAAGGCCTCAAGCAAAGAACGGTCCTGCGCTGCCTGCATCCAGATTCTTCCCGCGACCTTTACCAGATCGTCGGTCTACCTAGTAGGAGGCCTGTCCACGCTACGTCTTCCAGCTCGTGGTCGCCACTCGAGAATTTTTCTGCCCCAAAGCGATCGTCTCTACTATGTGCTATGTGCCCCGCCCACTGCCACTTGTCGGTCACTTTGGTTCTCCTGCGNTAACAACCATTTATTATTGTACCTATATATTATTACCGTACATTATGGAAAACCTTGTACTATGCCCAGTATTGCCCAGCCTCAACACTTAAATCTTACATTGACAGGACTATTGGTATACGCACAGATGATAATCTTTTTGTCAGTTACCAAAAACTACTTCATCATCATCATCAACAGCCCTTTACAGTCCACTGCTGGACTATGAGCCTCCTCCACTATAGTGGAGGGTTTTGCCATAATCTCCACGCTTGGCAGGCGGGTTGGAGATCGCAGTTTAAAAGATTGATGTTTTTTCAGAGAGCGCTGCTGCCCATTCTCTGTTTGATGTGTAGTCCCTAAGTCGCCTCTTACGACACCCGCGGGAAGAGTAGGGGTTGGTGACAAATGTATTCTACTCTGCCGTCACCACACGGCTGCCGTGGTCGCCACTCGAGAACTTGTCTGCCCCAACGGCGATCGTCTCTACGAGCTATGTGCCCTGCCCACCACCACTTCATTTTAGCAATTCTGAGAGCTATGTCGGTCACTTTGGTTTTCCTGCGGATTTCTTCATTCAACCAACGTATTGATTTACGCAGAAAGTACGCCGAGCGGCTGTACTCGATGCTGCGGCCTCTAGCCAACTTCGAGGCGTTCTACCTGACGGACGTGGAGGTGGAAGTGGCCGCTCGCCAGATGAAGAGGTTCGACCAGTTGCTGCTGTGCGGCCCGCCCAAGGACGCCAGGTGACGGCTGAGTGTGGTGAGAATAACTCTTACTTACATTTAATTTTGTATTAGCATTAGCTTCAACCACACCAACGCGTGCAGATCGCCATCGCGCCGGCGCGATCATAGGCCAATGACAGGTCATGCGACCTAGATGACAGTTGGCGCGGTATGGGCGTACCCAGGTGAAAGCAAGAGAAAGATCAGCTGATACCTTCCCTCAACCCGGAGATTGTACGCCGTCTGCTTTACTGTCCCTTACCTTTTTTACACGCTGGAACAGGACTTGAAACTGGGGCACATGAATCCCATTGGTCGCCAGTCGCCGGTGATTGTGAACAGAGCGTGACAAGGCGGGCTTGAGTTTCAGAAACCCAGCTGTAGAACACGATCATGTCGGAGTAGTGAAATAATCATGTTTGACTGTACTTAATAAGAATTGAGTATTGAGTACTTATTTGAGGTTTGTGAGCACAGTCATAAACCTTTTTTCGTCTCTATGCTTTTTTCAGACCCTTTTAAAATATTGTATTAGGATTTTCCAAGGATTTTCCTTAAAAATTGTTTTCGTTTCCGCTCCGTTTCGTAATACGCTATGTTAATTAATGCATGCGTAATAGCCACTAATCCTACGCATTTTTGAGTTGATTGAAAATGACGAATTGGCAAGGCCACCAAAAATTCCCCAAACATTTTGACGTAATTTGGTTATTCAAAAATCAAAATTATGCGCCATTAGTCTTGATCTTGTTGAATAAACTTGCTCAAACGTCATCATCTTGTGTTTTAGATCGATCATGCATGAACTCGGAGAAGCGCATCAAGGCCTCGTCGTCTCAAGTTCAATGTAGAGATGGTCACATGACTTGAGTTGTAATTAGGTAAACTCACGTAACTTAACGAGGTTTTTTATACAAATAAGTGTTTAAATAATGTATTTTGAATCTTTTAGTGCTCTTCTGACTAAACAAAAGTCGCGATAACTCAACAAAAATATAAAATCTTTAAAAAATAAAACAAGCTATCACAAAAAGATTGCACTCGAAATAGAAATGTTATCTCCTGTTTTTACTGCACATTTTTGTAAATATTATTTTTATTGCGTTTTATAAACAATTTAAAACTAATTAACGGTGTGTGGCTTCGGTTAATCGTTGTTCCGTTGTTTTTGTGTAATTGTGACAGTCGTGTTGAAGTGTAAAATAATGTTGATTGTACAATTTAATGATATTAAACTGTGTTTATTAAACGCTTTATTAATGGTCTGATTGTAGTTTGCCATAATGTTTCTATTAACAAGTAGGTAAGGTAGTATATCAATGTTTTGTCACCTGTCATGCGCTTTGCACTGGAGGGAAGTCGAACCTTAACTTCAAACTCCTATGTTCTTCAGATTAATTTCGTTAGGGGTCCAATGACAGTTTAACTTTCCTCAATTTTGACCTCAATTGGTTGGGTTTTTAATGGCGGTCAAGCTGTAGATACACAGGAGTTGCAGCGGTGGGAACGAAAGATGGTAATAGTTCCGAAGCCAGAGCGTTAACTAAAAAGATGATATTCGATATTTCTGGTACAAATATCACTATGATATTGTGTCAAGCCAAGCCGACTCTAAAGTTGTTAAAAATATCTGATACAACATAAGTAAGCTTCTAGATATAAGTTTATAAGATAAATTATGATAAACAGCTTGATAATTAAGCACAATGAATAAATCAGTAGAAACCCAATGGGCAAGTCATAGCCCACGCGCTATGTCAATATCTTTATTGCTCTACATTATTTACAAAACAATGCCGCAATTGTAACTGAACGCGTAAATTATAATTTAATAATAAGATAATTATCTGCGTTCATCCCAGCGAAAGTTCCATAACTACTATCAATTTAATGGCTATTATCTACCTACTACATCATAGCAGCACACGTCAGTGCCCTGTTTTGTTGTGCAGTGATTACCAATGACCTGCTTCATTCAGCCATTGTCAGAAATATTCCATGTATCGTTTTTCCTCTGCGTAAGATCATTATGTGATGAGCTGATGACCTAACCAAACTCAGTATCCCTATCTACTGAACAACCTTTCAGACGTCTTAATATTTTACTTAATAGGAAACAAAAGAGTTCTTCGCTTGTCAAGCGAAGTCTATCCTTACGTTAAGGATAAATAAGCACTTACTTATTTGAGTATCATAAAATCGTGGAATGATCCTGATTCCCAACGTCAAACATTCAGTATTATTCGTTCCTAAAAGAGAACCAATGTCTCTACAGAAACACTAAAGTATCAAGCGAAAATTCATAGAATCGAGTTCCATTCGAGTAAAATCATAAAATACCAAAGGAAACCCTTCTGTTATTGTCTCTAACTCAAACGTATGGTAAAACCGTTATAACAAATCGATTGTCAATTCAAGGCCAAAAGTTATCTATGGTTGTTAAAAAATCCCATAAGACTCAATTACGTCACTGACTAGCAAAATACCAATTTAACGGTTAAGGAAGCGATATTTAAACAATCTAATGACGGTGATGATAATAATATGATTTTCGATAAATAACTCAATTTAGTGTTTGAATTTTCTGCATATTTCTTATCTGATAATGATTTCCTAGGCTTAGGTCATCGGTCTCCCTTGCCTTTAGGCAAGGTCGCGTGTAGCGTTTACGCTAGGTTACGCTTTAGGCTAGGTTAACGTTTGCATCTGTGACTGCGTACGCGCATTTTGCGTGCTTAGTTGCGTACGCTGCGCTGCTAAGGACAGTTCGTAGTGGACTTAGCTATTATAGTGGAACTTATAATCATAATCATTTATTGCTTAATTTTCTTTATATTCATTGATTTCCATGTAGATACTTTTATTTTCAGTAAAATGTAGAGTCGTAGTTAGGTATATAGGTTGTGGTGGGTTTACTTTTGTAAAAGTGAAAAGGAATAGCGTCAAGAAAGAGTGATAGAGCTTTTAACGCTAATTTAGCTAGCTTTTTAGTCAAGTTTTAACAGATGATCCCTAAACCTGTTAAAACTAACAGGAATCATAGTTCTGATGTCTGATATAATGTATTGTATCATTATTATAAACCTACCTTAATCTGAAATCATAGCCAAGTTGTGACAAATAAGCAGATTTCCCATATCTGCCACCACAGAGGTCATGAAAAACGATGAATGAACTGACACCACAGTCAAGAGCTAACAAGTAGGCTTGCTCCTACTGCAAGGTGTAATCAGCGCAAAAGTTGAGAGACGGAGAGCACATCAAACTATGGCTGTGGCATCTTATGTACTTAAAATAGGTGCTATGCTATTTTGCAACAATAATACATTTATAATCTGATGTGCATCTTTGAGCTTTTTTTTAAACGTCGGGAAATGCTTTGCGCATATCCAATAGTCGATGAGGACGGCCAGTGGGTTATGTGGGACTCTCCTCGCCTACCCACTAAAGGCGGGGCCTACCCCCTAAAACCCGACGGCTTCCACCAGAGCCGAAAGAAACGGAACCGCGAGTTATTGTCCTAGTTAAACATTCGTCCGCAGCTCCGCCTCAGGCTAGCTTCGAGGGAGCCCCCCCAATTCCCTCCTCCAGTTGTTTTTTTATAGAGGTTTTCTCCTCGCGGCCCTGGTACAACAGGACCCCCGGCCCGCCGTAGCGGGTTACGGTCTGCTCCATGCCGCTGCTCAGTCAGGTCTGTTGTTCAGAGAAGTACCGAGAGCGGCCCTCGAAAAAACGGGCCCGGGCAAACGCCACCTGTGGGGGTTTTTAAAGATGTCCCCTGCATCGTGGCCCGGGCAAATGCCTCGACGACCCCCGGCCCACTCAATTGTGAGTTACGGGTTGCCCGACAGGCCCGCCGAGTTGACGAGACCTGCCGCGCAGGTGAGAAGTTAGCCGCCCGCGTGAACAGACCACGCGGACGTTGCCCAGGGTGCACCACGAGGAGGTCCCTCACCATCGCACTCGTGCATCTTTGAGCCTACTGTATCTAGGTACCCCTATTCGCTAAGGCGCATGGCGCATGTCCACGAGATGAGTATTACGTGCGCGCTTGAACCCTTGCACTCGCATGAGTGCATGTGCACTGGCCGGTGCGTGTGCACTTACTGCTAAACAACCGGTTGCCAACGCGGGATTCTAGTTGACTCAGCCATGTCAACAAAACTACTTCTTCTTCTGCCTTATGGCAATGTGTTTTCTATCTCAGTCAATGTCACGTGCGCAAAACTTAAATAAAAAAACTAAATGAACCTCTAAAACAAATGTATCAGAAGTTTTGGAGACTCACATTCTATTAAAGTCCAAAAAACCACTAAGCGCTATCGTCCTATTCCTATGGCGACATGAGTAAAGATTTCTTTACTCTATGGCCCTATGCTATGAAGTCAGAAAGTGCTGCCCACACTCCAGATTTTTTTTTAAATTCCAAGATCATTAATTAAAACCCCGCGGCGTCAAAGAAATCGCACCTCCCATCCTACGACAATAACATTTTCTTTTGACACACTCATGGTGCTCCTTTCGCTATAAGACGAGACACTGGATCCTTCTAAAGACACATTTTTGGTGTAAAAACCTTTCCTTTAATGAAAGGAAGTTTGGAACAAGGCTTTCAAATGGAACCAATATCGGTGGGAAGTGGGGATGCATACGCTTGAAAGTGCTTGTCGCGAGAGGTGCGATTTTTTTGACACCGAGTGTAGTTCACAGAATACCTAAATAAATCAATGCTGAAGCACATAAACAAGATAAAAGAATATGTAGAGTTATTTTATGAATGAAGTAAAGATATTGGAGTATGCATATTACTTACGTTAATATGTTACGAACATAATATTACAGCACATTATTCTTTTGAAATATAGGGTATATCTCGTCTAAAAAGTAAAGATGAGAGCTTTGATGGAGCCCTTTTTCACTCGTAGCTTGAAAATCTTGAAAATGAAATTTTAATCCACTATGACTATACCTCTTACCCTTTTTTCACATAACGTACCTATTACAACATATATCAAATTTTAATTATATTACCTACTTGAATTCGTATGAAAATTTTATACCAAATGTATTATTATCTTTAGTGGTAGAGCTTTTATTTTTATCTTTTGCCATTGCGTAACTGTTTTTATCACACTTTCACATAATTATAAAAATATATTTTATCTGTAAATAAATATTGCGTTAATGTCATAACATTTCGTTAATGTTTAAAAAAGCCTGTTTGATAAATTTTATTAACCCATTGCGGCCTATCGGTGTCTTTTAGACCACGACTTGAAAAGACTAGGAATTAAGGTGGCTTAATGCTCAATGGCATCGATGGCGTAAACATATTACACCCTCTGAAAAAAAATTTCAGGCCTTTGAAACTTTCAAACCAGCAGTGTTTGTGCTAACGAAAGTAGTGGTAATGTCTGATACATTTGTCTCTCTAGAGAATAGAACTTTCAAATAATCAGTAATGAAACCTATACTGGGTTCCTGTTAAATAAAATCAAAACTTATTCTTGGATGGCTCAAACTTGGAGTCCAAGTGTGGTTTTGTTCCCCAGTCGATAAAGCACATGATGTCGTGCCCTGCGTGCCCAAACAACTGCACGGAGGAAAATTTAATGAAGCTACTGACAACGCCACTCTTGTAGCGGGGTTTTGGGCTGACACTGTGTAGGTTTGTTGTCGACACGACAAGAAGAAGAAAAATTACTTATACTTCAATTCTGCTTTTCGGGTAAAGCCAAGCAAGCATTTCCAAAGTGGCGACAAGTTTTACTAAACTGCAAGCTCGTCGCCCATTTATAAATGTAACTCGAGATCTGCCTCAATATTCGCTTTTGTTTCATTCACTTAAGTGTAGTTAAGTGACTTAACTATTCGTAATCATCATCAGGTCATTAAGTATCCACTGAAGAAGCACGACGCTCCCTATTTTGCCAGAGGCAAATGGAGGATTGTTGCCTACTACACTATCCACGTTGGACAGACGTGTTGGGTTGTGAGTGGAGGCCAGAATATACACATACTTATTTCTCCCTTTCCTCCCTTCCTTCACTTTGTACGACATTCATAAGAATAGTGGTTCTTTTCTACTCCTGCCTGAACTATGCGCTTTTCTAACAACCAGCTTTGTTCTCTTTTATTTATTTAAGGCTTACAAAACAAGTTACAGTCATATTTAGGCACAGAT